GAAAGGCATGAACTACAAAGAAATAAGAACCTTTCCCACATGCCATCAAATTCTTTTGCAGGAAGAATCCATTCATTGAAGCTAGAAGACTGTCCATCAGAGCTGATATCCACACAGGGTCCTTCCTCGCTAAGCTGACAAAGCAAAATGCGGACAATATTCACTAAGCTCTGAGCCAAATTAACAGAACAAAGAGATTCTAGACTAATGCAAAGTAAGATTGGAGGGAGTTTGATATTGATGCACAATGAAACATCGCATGTTACAGTACTAACATGTTGCAATATCATGTTATCTTTTTCCCCTTTGTTTACTGTTAAGATAAACAATTCAAATCATCTAATTCAACTTTTACTTTATGCATATTCTATTATATATGCTTTATTATTTTCTCTTTTCAGTTAGAAAGCATCATAAAGCATATGTGTCAGCATTTTCTGTCAAGAGGTGGTTATAAATTCTACTTAGGTGTTATTATAATGGAGGAAGCTTGTTATTGGTTATCTTTCTCATGAGAGTGTATATCCAAAGGTGCTATATAAGCTGGCAGATGAATCAATTGAAGCTTATCACCATTTTAACAAAATACATTCCTCCTCTCAATTCTCTGTTATAATATCATGACTAAGCAAGCAGTGTCACCTGAAAGACATGTACAACCGGCTTGACTTGCCAGAACAAAAGAACATTATCATTTTGCATCCCTTCACCTACTCAAAAAAAGTTTACCAATATCAGACTCAAATAAGCAGCAAACAACTGATCTTTGTGTGTATGTGTCTAGGAAATTCTTTTTAGTTAGTCAAGTACAGAGTAGTCATTCCTGGATAGTGGCGCATAGCAGCTGACCCCAAAAGTGGGATAGCGGAATGACCACTCTATTTGATCATTATTTGGATAAACTACAGATAATAATTATAAACATATACTAATTAATATAAAAATTAAACAAATAACTTAACTCATAAAATATTCATAAATCAAAGCACACATGACACTTGAAGTGCATAAACAACTATGAAGGAGGGTTAAGTTAAGGTTGAGTCTCAACTCAGATTTGATTGAAAAACCCAAAATTATCCTTAAAATGTTTAGCAGTGTTGTCGATGGCTGAGAGCCAAAACGCCTCCATAGCGCCATTATAGGGGATTATGGCAGAAAAACCAGCAATATCGGCCGATATTTACCATTGCGGCGAGCCCAAAAACTGCCATATATCCGCCATAGCAGCCATGGCGCCGCTATTTGATAACACTGTTTTTGAGAGGAGAAAACGATAGTAGGCCAGAAACTGCTTCGGACCGGAAACAGCTCTGCTCCGCTATCCAGCTATTTATCCTATAGTGGTCGCTAAAGTGCTACACACCGCTAAGGCTCTTCCCATAGTGGTCGGCCTCCGCTGCGCTCCACTATAGCGGGATACCGCCGCTATTGACTACTCTGGTCTTGTATTTTATATTTTAACACACATATTCCAATTTTAACATGCTAATTGCTAAATCACTTGATTCAAGTAGTACGAAACATGGGTAATGAAATCTTAGATTGGTAAAAACAAAATGATACTTTAAAAATCAAATCAACAAGTTCCATATCTTGCCATTCCATAATAATAGCAAAAAAATCTACAGTTTACCACCATAAGTGCAATTGAAAGTAAAAAAATGAATATCATACAGACCTGCATCACAAATGCAAATTCTTTGCACATTATCAGCAAGAAACGGCTCATCAAGGGGAACGGGAATTGGTCCGCCATTATAGCTCAAACTCCTCTTTTCAAGCATCCTGAAAATCAGCGAAATAGTCAAGTATATAACTACAATACAGAAGCCTAAAGAACCAAAGTTAGTTCAGTTTCAGTCCCCAATTACCCTCACATGAAACTAAAACCCGGCAAAGAAAATCGAAAACAGTGTTGTCGAAAGTGAAAATCGAAAACAGTGTTGTCGAAAGTAAAAATCGATCGATTATGAACATGGTTAGAAGCATGTTAAAAGAGAAAAACTTGCTGAAAATCAATGAGGGGAAGTCGTTTCCGCAACTGCCTATTTGTTGAATAGGTGTCTTACAAAGAAGCTTGAGAATGTAACTCCAAAAGAGGTATGGTCTGGATTTAAACTAAATCTGAGCAACTTAAGAGTTTTTGGTTCGATAACATATCGACATGTTTCGGGTCAACTTAGAAAGAAGTTGGATGACAAAGGTGAGGTGATGTTACTTGTTTGTTATCATCCTACTAAAGATTATGTGTTTTTTGATGTTGCAAACAAGAAGATCGTGATCAGTCGGGATGTCATGGTTGACAACTGAAGCGTGTCGAGCTGTCTGGAACTGGTGTTACAGGTGGTGTAACCGGTTATCAAAATCATGTAACTAGTTACGTGCACGATTTTATGGATTCTCAGGCTACTGGAACTGATTTGACAAACGCTGTAACCAGTTACCAAAATCATGTAACCCATTACAGACACGATTTTTTCAATTCTCATGATGCTAGAAGTACATAACAACAATAATCAGAGATAAAGATGATCATAAGTCTACAGCCAGATACATCTTTATGTTCGGAGAATCATCAGTCTCATGGTGTTATAAAAAGGAACCACTGGTTGCACTCTCGTCTTATGAGATCGAGTATATTGTCGCTTCGTTATGTACGTGCCAAGTCGTTTGGCTGAATCTATTGAAAGAGTTAGACATCAATGAGGGTGAGGCTGTCACACTCTTAGTTAACAATGTTTCAGTCATTAATCTTGCTAAGAATCCTATTGCACATGGGAGGAGCAAGCATATTGAGATCACTACTTGAGGGTGTTGCACCCTAAAATTTGTCCTCCTAATTCTCTTATCTGACTTAGACTTTTGCATTAATCTGCATATATTCCATTAGGACATTTTACATAACATTGCATTCAATAAAGCACTGTGGTTCAAAAGTTCAGTGGGCGTGCGATGTCAAGGTTTTCCTATTCTTTTGAGATGTACATGTCAAATAAAGCTTGATGTTCCTGATTCTCCTGATTCTTGTTCAATCTGTGAATGCGTGAAATTAGGGTTTCTGTGGCTTCAAGGATATCCCTCCCATTCAAGGTTATTCAATGTATTCCTTCATCAATGATTCTAACTGAGAAGACTGCGAGTTATGGCTTTGATGTTAATTTGTTTCTTCATTCAGTGTACTTCTCATAAGATCGGGATTTTTAATTTATTATGCTTCAACCAGGGTTTGATCTTATGGTCATCTTGAGTCTATCACCTTCAACTCTGTAGACCTGTTTTGAATGATACAATTTTTGGTTCTCATCAAATACTTGTTACTCCAATTACAAATTAACTTGGAATTTTGAGAGAAATCATAATTGATTTAGATTCGTTGAAACTTCTAATCATGCTCGAAATTAATATTGATTCAAGGTCTTATTAAGTTCGTGATTTGTTAATGGTGGATTCAAGGTCTTATTAAGTTCGTGATTTATTAATGGTGGATTCAAGATAGGGTTGGAAGATTCATTCATATGGTTTCAAGGAAGATTCATTCACTGAAGTATTATTCAGGGAGAATCTAAAGTACGAATTCAAGATTCGTCAAATCATCAATCCAAAAATGTCAAGATTCATTCGAAAAATCAATAGTTCAAGAAAGAAATCAGTACCACATTTCCAAATAAATCACTTAGTACATCACTTTGGGTATTTGACTTACACACTAGGCTTCATTCAAGAGGGAGTCACATTCAAAACTTAAAATGTGAAAAATGAAGGGGAATGATAAAGGGACTTTATTTCTTAAACTTACAAGTCAAACATACAAAAATTAAGGAAGTGTGTCAGCTCATTCAATAAAACCAGTGGAACCGATTCAGCTTTTAAGTCAATTCACTCCACAATAGCTAACCCAAAAAACCAATTCACTAACCTTTGTCATTTTATTAGCCCTCCAATTCAGTTATCACTAACAAACCAAGCTAACAGAATTCATAACCGCCAATGACAGCTCATCAATTTCCTAACAAATTCTGACCACCTTCAAACTGCACCCTAACTACATAGGACAAACAAAACCCAACTAACTGAAACTAATTTCATAACCATCAATCTCTAACAGAAACCTAACCAACTTTGAGCTTATAACAGAAACAGAGATCGATAATTTATGGAAAAAAAGAGAAAGATTCGCAAAAGGGACTAAAAAGAGAATTGACTATTTCAGAGAAACCAGTTATAACAAACTGACCAGAAATCCATTCTTGAATTTTCAGAAGAAAACTCACCAAGAAAACCAGCCATCTCTTTCTTCTTCAACCGGCCGCATCATTCTCCAAGAACCTTGATCGATCGCCAGAATCGCTTTCAATCTTCATCTTTGAAAATCTCCCATTGTCATCAATTCTCCGACGGAATCCTTAACCGGCATCTCAAGCTTCATCATCTGCATTCATTCACTCTGCGTTTTTCAACTACTTCGCAACATCACCATCACGGTTTCTGCTTCAAGAATAACCGCAACATCATGAATCACATATAATGTATCGTTATTGTTCAATGGCGATGATACTCGGAAAAGTAAAGTTCATAGAATTGGAAGAACAAGCGCAGAAGAAGATTTCAGCAAGAAAGTAAAGGAATCGCGAAGTATTACCTAAAGATCGCTGGGTTTCTATCGCTGTTCTCCGTCGTCGAAGTCGCATCGGACGATCTCCGATAGGTAAGCCTCGATATCTTTTTTTGGCGTCGATTTTGCATCGGAGATGGCTCGAACGCTTCTGAACCAGAACCGAAACTTAATAGCTTCAAACATTCATCATCTTTCTGCCTACGAACGTGAAGCCTGATGCGGTGTAGAGGATGAAGTCTACAATGGTTGGAGCGGAGAGGTATGGAGAGTTAAGCGGAGGTATGATGCGGATGAGAATGGCCGCCGATGTGTTGGTGAAGAAGAGTCGCACCATGAGAGAAGAACGAAGAAGAGGAGTGATATCGGATGGAGACGAAATTGGGATAATATCAAAGGTGAAGGGTTTGGTTTGTGACGGAGATCGCCGTCGTGCCTGGTTTCCGTGAGGTAGAAGAATGACTCGTGGGAGACGAAGAGTCTCAGTCCTTTAAGCATGTCCTAACTATCTAAACCACATTGTTCCTCTCTTTCTATTATTCCATTTTATTATTTAAATTCAATAAATAATCATAAAGAATTTCATGAGCGATTTGATTTTAGATTTTTTTAAGAATTTCATTTTATTGAATTTTGTTAACAAAATATTGATGTAATAAAAAAAACATTAAAAAAACTTAGTAGAATTTTCAAGAGTTGTTTTTTTAGAAATTAATTAAGATATCTCCTATTATTTTTTTATTTTTTTAGCCTTTTGGAGTTTAAATTTTGCAAATAATCATGAATATTTTTTTGCTTGTGATTCGATATCATTTTCGAGTTGTAATTTGATATTTGAGTGATTCTTACATTTCCTTGTAATTTGCTAGCTCTTTTGGTGATTTGTGCAAGGTGGAAGGCGTTTTATCGCTCGATGTGATTTATTTGAATATAATCTCGTTGTATAGACTTGCCTTGTGCAGGAATTTTGGTTTGATGTGATTTCTCTGCTTGCGATTTATTTTTGCACCGCGACATTGGATCCTCATTGGATATTTTTCTGATTGTTCCTTTGTTGTTGATGCTAGCTTGCACGTAGTATTTCGGGTTTCTTTGTTCTACTTGCGTTGCTACGAACTATTATTCGTTTGGTATCATTATGCTTCCCTTTTACTACTTCCATGCTTTATCGCTTTCTAGAGACCATGAGAAGTAGGAAGCAGTAAATAAAGAGCATGCGCTCGAAGTATCTGTTTAAATACCTGTAGCAGGCACCGCTTTCAGTATGTTATTTGTGTTTGTTTAAAACCCTACCTTTGATGTAGGTATTCTGCAGGTGTGTTTATATCTTGTGCTTGCATAGCGGTGTGATGGTTTTAGGTCCTTTCATGGAAAACATCATTAACTCCTCAAGGAAAAGGGGCAAGTGGAAAGGTTTCGCAATCAACCCCCACCAGTTTTTGTCTGTGTCGTTTCCTACGCTTCCACCGAGCTACGAACATGTCTCCAAGATCTTGTATCGAGTCCATCAAGTGGAAGAAGGGTTAAACCAATCCCCACGCTTTGTCAAGAGCTCGTATTGCCCGATGTTGAAGCCCCGTTGTTGTACCCCAAAACTTGCCCTCTCTTTTCTCAAGGCATTTCTCACAAGGATTCTCAAAAAAATTCAAGCTTACGCAAGTACAATTGGATTTTTCAGCATCAAGTTAAAGGGGAAACTGTTAAAAAAGGCAAAGCAGATAAAATATAATTGTTTTGACAAAATTGAAGGAAAAACAAGTTTCCTTCGATTCACATCCTTCAATTGGACTTCTAGCCTCTTTCGATGCAAGCTTGGCTTGCATCCTTCAATGGGGCATTGGCCTCTGACACGCTGGCTTTGACTCACAAAGCAGGAGCTTCCTGCATGCAATCTTTGATTGCATCATTGGCCTTACATGGTTCACAAATTAATGGTGGCATGCATACCTTCTCCGATTGGACATTTGATGCATGCATGCCTGTGTTGATTGGACAAATAATTCCCTTCATGCTTGCTTTAATTCACAAAGTGATGGCTGGCTGCAGGTAGCCTTCGATCGAACAATAGTTTCCTTCTTGCATGCTTCAAAGCAAGAGGCTCCCACCAGGCCAGCAGGAAAATAAACGCTTTGTGGCCTCTTTCGATTCAAAGAGGAAAATCCTCATGTTTGGCTTCCTTCGATTCAGGAGGCAAAGGCCTTTTTTTTGGTCTCCTTCAATTGTACCCTTTACCTCCTGCATGCATTTTTCGCTTGGGGCGCGTGGCTTCCTTCAACACAAGATTTGGTTACATTCTTCATTTGGGCTTGTGGCCTCCTTCGAATGCAGGTTCGTTTGGCCATATGGACCTTTGGCAGGAAAGTTTCATTTGAATAGTGGCTCTTCGTACAAGGTTTCGTTTGAGCAAAGACCTCTTGCATGTTTGCTTGAAGTTACAAAGTAATGGTCTCCTGCAACTCTCCTTCGACTCAGAAGCCATTGGTTTTGCATGTTTGCCAAATTCACAAGGCATAATTTCCCCTTCATGCTAGCGCTCCCAAAGCAGGGACCTCCTGCATACACCCTTTCGTTTGGCCATGTGACCTTTGGCAGGAAAGCCTTCGGTTGGACAAGAGTCACCTTCACACAAAGCTTCGATTTTTGGAGTTTTGATTCCCTTCGAATCAGTATACTTCGAATCCAATCTGGACCTTTCGAGCAAGCTTGTTTGAAGAACATTGAGCAAACCTCATAGCCTTATCCTCCAAATCTCACTTGTCAGGCTATGTTACTTCTAAATCTTTACATAATCAGAGGCTTACGCAAGTTTGTGATACATTATGCAAAGATTGGAAGCTTTATCCACTGGATAATACCATTCTTGGATAAAATGGCAAAAAGCTACGTACTCTTTTTTTCATAAAGAGTATTTTAATCACAAAGTTAGCTTCCAATCTGATTTTTGTCTGAACACAAGCAATGACAAAAGCATAAGTCCGATCTCATGTACCCACCAGACAGCATCCCCCCCCACTTATACTTGAAATTGTTCTTTTTCGCTTTCATATTTTATTATTTTGCAAAGCTGACCACTTCAAAGACCTACAAACTTTTCTCTATAAATAGAGAAACAATTGGCAAGCTTAAGGGGGGTTTTTTTAGAGGACTTTTGGGTGGTGCGGAAAGAATCTTCAAAAAATCATCAAAATCTCAAAAAACTCTTAAAATCTTAAGATTCTCAAACACTAAACACAAACCCAGAATCTAAAGAAACACAACACTTGTTTCTTTTTTCCTCTTTCGAATCTGAAGCAATCCCCACACTTTATTTTTCTTTCGAATCCTGCAGAAAGAAAACTACATATGTTCTTCTCCTTCGAATTCAGAAATAACAAACACCACCCCCACACCTCCTGACCTTTGAATCCAGTCGAACAAACACCTCACCTGTTTATTTCCTTCGAATCCAGGAGCATCTAGTCCAATCACTCAAGGTCAAACACACGTTCCAGCTTCAAGCAAGGTAAGTCATTCTGACCTTAAACTATTTGTTTGAAGCATGTACATAATATTTGTTTCCTTTTCGTTTCCACCATTTTAGCTTATTTTCATTGCTAACCCTTTTGGTTTTGCTTATTGGTTTATCAAATGCTTTTAAGAACTAACCTAGCCATAAGACAATGCTGGCATGACCTCGGTGTCTTACCCCAAATTTGCCCTATCCCTTTTATTTTTAGTCTAGCTTTGAACTTTGCATTCCATTTGCATCATTTTATCATTCAGTCATTTGCATATCCCACATCTCAGGGAATCAGCCGCTTTGGTTTGAAGTATTAGGGCTACACCCTCTTTTTGTCTAATTTTGTTTTGAGGTTTTCTTATCGGGTAAAAAGGAAGCGCATCTGGTTCTCGATTGGTGAATCGTGGAACGAATTTTGTTATCATGTTACAAGGGTGGTTCTTGCTCAATTTTATCAGAGCCTGGATTAGAGTTTATTTCCCTATGTGTGCTGGCCAAGATGCTAGAGTTCAAGTTTTTGGTTTCTGTGAAGATGTTTTTGTCACTTGACTCGAGGATGGTTCAAAGCTCAGGGCATTAGGCCTTTCTCACAAGGATTCTCAGGGTTTAAGTCTGCACAAGTACAATTGGATCATATTGGATTTTCAAGCATCAAGTCTAAGAGGAAACTATTGAAAGAGCAAAGCAGATAAATTTGTTTTTTTGACAAAATTGAAGAAGAGCAAGTTTGCTTCGATTTAGAGGTTTCGATTGAGCATCTGGCTTCCTTTGAGCAAGCTGGATTTAGGGGCTTCGATTGAGCATATAGCTTCCTTTGATTAAGTTGGATTTAGAGGTTTCGATTGAGCATCTGGATTCCTTCGAGCAAGCTGGATTTAGGGGCTTCGATGGAGCATATGGCTTCCTTCGATCAAGCTGGATTCCGAGGCTTCGATTGAGCATCTGGCTTCCTTCGAGCAAGTTGGATTCAGGGGCTTCGATTGAGCATCTGGCTTCCTTAGAGCAAGCTCTGATCCATAAGCTTCGATTAAGAAATTATTTCCTTCATTTGTTTTTGCTCCAATTCACAAAGCATTGACCTTCTACTAACTTGCTTTGATTCAGAAAGCAGTAACCTCCTACATGAAAACTTCGACCAAGCTATGGCTTCCTGCATGCAAGCTTCGATTGGATAATGGCTCTTCATGCAAGCTTTGTTTAAGCAATGTCCTCTTGCATGCCTTCTTTGATTCACAAAAGTTGTAGCCTCCTGCATGCTTTGTTTTGATTCACCAAGCTTACTGCCTACAAGCCTGCTTCGACTTGGACAAAGGTTACTGCCTGCAAGCCTACTTCGACTGGACAAGTTACTGCCTGCAAGCCTACTTCGACCTGGACAAGTTACTGCCTGCAAGCCTACTTCGACTGGACAAGTTACTGCCTGCAAGCCTACTTCGACCTGAACAAGTTTACTGCCTGCAAGCCTTCGACTGGACAAGTTACTGCATGCAAGCCTTCAACCTGAACAAGTTTACTGCCTGCATGCTTGCTTCGTCTGGACAAGTTTCGATGGGAAAAAGTCACCATCTCTTGCATCATTCGAATCCACTTGCACCAAGGGCCTCTTGCATCATTCGAATCCACTTGCACTAAGGGCATCTTGCATCATTCGAATCCACTTGCACCAAGGGCCTCTTGCATCATTCGAATCCACCTGCACCAACCTGCCACAACACTCCAAAAACCTGTTGTTGCTGCTCCAAAACCTGTTGTTGCTGCTCTAAAACACTGCTGAGCCTGCATTGTAACAGCCCAGAGATTACACAAAATTAGAATAAATACAAACTGTGTTTAATAAAGCAATATAACAGAGTTTTAGCTTTGGTTTGTTCTGATCCAAGTTTGAACTCATTTTCCCTCTCTTTTTTCATCCTCCTCCTCTATATAACAGTGGTATCAACGGAAAAAAAA